GTTATTATTTCAAATTTATCCCCCAGGAGGATGGAGAAACCAGAAGATTATCTATCCCTTGAGGTTCATCCCCTGAAGGTCCCACCCCAACTGGCCACATGGCCAGGCTCAGCACCACTTTCAGGGGATTTCATACACCACCAAAGTATAAGTCTGGGGACCCCTGCTTTCTAGAGAATTATGGAAAGTTTCCCTGGGTGTTGACTCTCAGAAAAGCCTTCTTCAAAAAGAACCAAGCCCTGGCCGCAGGCTCCTGCGGCTCCTCCTTGCATTTCCCACACAGCCATGCCCTTGTCCCGGACCTTAGTGAGGAAGGTCCTGTGTCTCCTGAGATCCCAGTTATTCTAAAAGAACGCTTGGAGGGTCTTAGAACCCATCAGAAACAGGGTTGTCCTGTAGCCTCCATAGCCTGACCATGGTCCTACTCTGTCCATCCATCCCCCAGGCCCAGATGTTGGCCTTACTTACCATAGGGACTCGCCACTGGAGCCCCGAGGGGCGCGTTGACACTGACCATGACCGAGTGTACCCAGCTGGACACTGGGGGGCATGGAGGAGCTGGGGCCCACACACAGCGGCAAAGGAGCCACCCGGAGCCGGTCCACCAGGAAGGCAGTGAGCACAGCCAGCTGCCACCGCCCGGTTATCTTATTGATTCTTCTAATCACCCAAGGTGGGTGGATATGTTAAAGAGTAACCAGTCACTTAGGGAACCTGTGGCTGCGGATTGTCGCTTTTGTCATGGCAACGGCAACCTGGCTAGACCTGAGGTCCACTCAGGCCCCAGTCCTGGACTCTGGGGTTAGGAGAATCTGAAGCCAGATGTTGGAAACATCAGCCCTATAACTTGGGAGAAGGGGCTGAGCAGGGCCAGGGGAGTTGAGAGTCCGTGGTGGGTGGAGTTTTATGGCTCCGAACTATGGGTGCGGTGAGTGCATGAAAAGTGGGGAAGTTGAGGGAGGGGTAGAGGAGGGAAGGAGGGTGGAGAATTAAGTTTATTGCATATCAGACTGGATATGCAATATCCAGTTGGGAGCTGAACATAGGCATGGCTAGGATTAATTAAACCTTGAGATAAAGGAGTTTGAGGGGGCTGGAGAGATAACTCAGTGGTTCAGGTCACTCTTCCTGAGGACCTTGGGTTTGATTCCCAGCACTCACATGGCTGCTCACAGCCATCTATAACTCCATTTCCAGAAGCCCAATGTCATCTTCTGGCCTCTACAGGTACCGGCACGTATATGGTATACAGACGTACATGCAGGCAAAACACGCAAACACATAAACTAAATCTAAAAGCAAATAAATAAAGGACCGTGAGGCATGGGGAGAAGTTGCTTCCCTAGCGTCTCGCCCTGGGTGTAGAGAAGATCTGGGGTCACAGTCCTGGTCCACCACTCATCTCACAGGTCAGCTGAGTACCTACTATGTACAGTGTTCCATGTTAAACTCCAGTGACTAGAAATGAGCCAAGCACATGTCACCCTCTCTTCATGGAACTGGAGTAATGGAGGGGATGAATCTTGACCACATCATAGTCAAAAGTGGCTACTCTTTGGGATGGACCAGCTGGTGGTACAGCCCTCTGCCGGCCTCTCTCTCCATGCCACAGGCAACCTGCTGTCTGGTCTGAGACTTTCTCTCCAACAATGACAACCTACTATCTGGTTCTTCATTTTGTTTTTGTTATTATTATTGTTATTGCTATTATTATTTGCGACACCCCATTTGCTTTGGCCCAGTGTTGGAGCTCCCAGCCTGTCTGGGGATTCTCTGCTCTAGATTATTAAAACATTGTTCAAATGACAAATTTGAAACTCAGGGGAATGAGCGACCCCAGCTCTGCCATTTTCTTGGTGATTCTTTTGCTGAACTCTTCTGTCTCCTTACAGTAATTTCTCCGTAGCGGTTTACCCTACCCCCCAAAACAGCTAGCTGGTAAACTCTTTCTCAACTTCCCCTTCCAGGACACTTTTCCAGCCACTTTCCAGGAGACACTGTTGTTAGTGATGGGCACTGGCTGTTTCTGGTTCCCAGCCCCTGGAGTTTCCCCCCTGTACAGGCACCTTCCTGCCTTCATTTTACTTTGTATCCAGGTTAAATCTCCAAGACTGTCACCTTAGGCTCTCTGTTTCTCTCCCAGCCCCTTCCCTGGGGAAACTCGAAGCCAGGAAGGACTTGAGTGTTTTGCTTACTCCCTGTCTATGCCCAGCCACTCATTCATGCTGGAACAAAACAAAAGCCCCTGAGAAGGTCAGATAGGACCACGGCAGCCGCCAACTTCAGTGCACCCCTTTGCTCTGTCCCAAATCCTCCCCTGGGTCTCCCTTCTCTCTTATTCGCTGCTTTTGCTTTTCTTTCCACACTTTCCTTGAACTTTTCCCACTCTCTTCATCAACAGCACGAGCGAGGCTGGGCCTTCCTCAGGGAGCCAGGGTTGGCCCTTCAGAACCCCATTAGAAAAGCCGGCACCTGACTTCTCATTGCCTTCCATCGTGGGCACCTGTGTCCAAAGCCCTTCGATCCCTCGGAAGCGCACTCGCTTTCCTTTCCAGTGCCAGCATCTGCCTTCAAATCATCCTAATCTTTTATCTCCATACCGAAACAGCCGTTTGCTCTTTCCAGCATTTACTGTGGCCCTGAACAAATCAGGTCTTCATCAGTGTGGCTCCAGACAGGGTCTCCCAATAGAGTCTTGGCAGGCCTGGGATTTGCTATGTAGCCTAGAATAGCTTTGAACTTGCAGAGATTTGCCTGCTCCTGTCTCCCTGGATGCTGAGATTAAAGAAAAGCATGTGCCACCACATGTCCCCAGGGATGGGATCTTAACCTGCCTTTTCACTCTCTGATGGAGCCCGAAAACTGCTTTTCATGTTTGTCTCCTGCCTACTTCCCTAACATGGGTCATCATACACACACACACACACACACACACACACACACACACACACACACACAGTGTTTTTTCAAGCCAGGCACTTGTTGCTTTTGTAGCAGAGGATCTGGGTTTGGTTCCAAGGGACCTGACATTCTCTTTTGATCTCTGTGGATGCCAGGCTCACAAGTTATGCACATATCTATGTACATGTGCACAGTCAAAACACATATATAAAATAAATTAATTTAACTCCCGTTGACATGGGTAATGGGGGCATGCTTCCACATGTGTGAATGGGATACATAGGAAACCTTCAAACTTCTCTTCAGCCAAGGGTAGCCCTGAACTTGTTCGCCCACGTACATCTCCTGAGTGCTAGGATTACAGGTATGGAGTTACATCTGATACTAGGGGACGGACCCTTAGGGTTCCTGCATTCTAAGCAAGCACTCTCCTCGCTGACCTACATCTCCAGACTAAGGAAAGGCATTTTAATACAGCCATCCCTAATTAGGGAGGCTTTTATCTGGAAAACTAAACTTGCAGTCGTCTCCTTGCCCTTCTTTCGCTCGCCTCCATGTTTAGAAGTACACTCTGCTCCGCAGAGTGATAATACACGTGCCTGTGCTGCTGCAGTGTGTGCATGTCCTCCCTGCTTCCAGCAGAGCCCACCACCCTCAACCATTTCTCACTCCCTGGGAGGTAAAGGGGATCCAGTAAGAGCCCCAGCCCGAGATCAAAGGACTGTATTGGTAGTGGGAAGGGAGAGGAGTGACATACACCAGTCAAGGCCTGGGTGGAAATGGTCAGACAGAAGAAGACTCAGCTGTTCCAGGATCCCACAGAGGCTCTGGGTGAGGGGGGTGGGGTTTCTGTCTAGTCAGAGCTCTGTCTTTGAATGGAGCCTTCTCTAGACCACAGGGAGTGGGCCCCAGCGTGAGGGCAAGGTCTGAAGGAGGAAATTTTACTATCTCTAGAGACAAAAGGACTTTTGTGTTTTATGATCTATGGGTGAGATTGGGTGGGGAGAGGGGAAATGGTTTATTGGAACGAAAATGGCATTGGGAGGGAGAAAAAGGGGGGACCAGTCTGTAGAGCCTTAGATGGGGAATACTCTGTGCAGTGATGAGCAGAGGGGAGAGCAGGGCAGGTGGACTGCTGCAGGGGAAAATGTCAGAGGCAGAAAGAGCTCCTTGGCCAACTTGGAGTTGTCACTGAGAGATTCCAGGAAGACCAAAGAAGTATGAATTCAAGCCTCAGGGCCTCATCTGAGACATGGCTGGACCCTGTGGCTGTTGTAGAAAATGTACCAAGGATGAGGATACAATATGCACAAACAAACAAAAATTGTTTGGACCTGACATTTGCCCAACCTTGGAGGATCACCAGTTCTGGAAGGTTGGCCAGGAAGGCTGGAATTAGATGGCTAGAGGCAAGACTTAGGTTAAAGCTGTTTTGTTGCTGTTGTCATTGTTGATTTGTTACCCTCCAACTTGCTGTGTAGCTGAGGATGGCCTTCAGCTTCTAAACCTTTTGACTGAGTTCCTGAACACCGGGATCATAGGTGTTGTGTAGTGCTGGGACAAACACTTTTTTTTAACATGAGCTACAGCCCCAGGTTGAGACTGTTTGACAAATGCCTTTCACTAGGTGGAGAGACTTGGGTTAGAAGCCTCAGAGTCACAAACAACGCTGCTTCCTGTTCTGTTTCCAGCAGCCCTCGCTCCAGAGAATCAGGCAAATGAAAACTGCAGGTCTTGCTGGATAAAGTGGTGCCCCAAGTCAAATCCCAGCAGCTGGGAGGCAGAGGCAGGCAGATCTCTGAGTTTAAGGCCAGCCTGGCCTAGAGAGTGAGTTTCAGAACAGCCAGAATGACACAGACATGGAGAAACCCTGCCTTGAAAAACAAAACCAACAAGTAAAAAAAAAAAAAAAAGAAAAGAAAAAGAAAAAGGCATGTCTCCCCAGATACAGAGAAGAAAGATGTTACTAGGGAAGGGAGGGGAGGCACCTTTGACATGTACTGGGCATTTCAGAAAAGGAATTTATAAAGAACTATCGGGTTGCCCAACAGTAAGGTCTCCCTCAAAACTTTGGGGAAGAATCTTTCTAGGGTCAGACCTAGCCAGGGGCACCAAAACATTGGGCTAGTTCAGATCCATGGGAGCCTGTTGGATTTGAGCCCAGAAAAGCACATGTTGCTGTTGCAGTTGCCTTGGTAACTGGGGGGACAAGCAGAACACGGCTTCCCAGTCTTGTAGGGCGCCTCCCCGATCCAGTTGCCCCTACGAGAGAACAGGCCCAGAGGAAGCAGGGTTAGGGAACAGGAGAGTTTAGGTGAAGCAGCCTTCACAGATTTACATGTTTCAGCCCTGGGGTCCATTTCCTATGTGACCTTGAGCATAGCTCCTCTATAAACCCAGCAGATCTGTCTTCCACAAGGATGCAGAGAACAGCAAAAATGCAGCCTGTGCATATGTGCACAGCATCACTGTGCTTGGAAAATAGTGACATCCTTTAAAGTTTGGTTTTCTCTCCTTCCCCCCAGCCTCCCCGGAGGGGCAGAATTGGGTTCTGGTCCTGAGTTCTCATCCTAGTGACAGACCAAGCCACTTCATTTCTTTATCCTCTGAATAAAATAGATGAAACAGTGTCCATGAAAATTATGTGAAATTACCTAGGAGGGGAACCCCTTGTGATTGATATATATATATATGTTGTATAAATGAGAGCTTGAGTAATTAGCTGATGAGGATAACCAGGCATGAGTGTCCCACTCCTAGAGTCTTATTATGGCCACTACCCTCCATGTCTTCAAGGCTTCACCATTAATCTAGGTGCCCTGCTATAGAATTATCTTCTCAAAAGACCACCACTGTTTATGGAAGGGAATAGGGAGTAATTGCCTAATGGTTATAGAGATTTCTCTGGACTGATGAAAAAGGGAAAAATCTAGGAGGGATGGGTGAATGGCTCAGTTGGTAGAGAGCTTGCCTAGCATGAACAAATAGTTGGATTCAATTCCCAGTACCACATACAACAGGTGTGGAGATGCACATTTGTAATTCCAGCACTTGGAGATAGGGGCAAAAGGATTAGTTCAAGATCAACATTAGCATTAGCTAATTAAAGAGTTAAAAGCCAGCCTGGACTACATGAGACTTAGTCTCAAAAGAAAAACAGAGCCAGCAAGATGGCTCAGCAAGTCAAGGCACTTGCTGCCAAGCCAGGTGACCCGAGTTCAATCCCCAGGAACCACATGGTAGAAGGAGAGAATCAACTCCAAGAAGTTTTCCTCTGACTTCTACATGTGCACGGTGGTGTGTGGACCCAGTCCCCATAAACAAGTAAATGACTGTAATATAAATAAATGAAATGCCAATGGTTGCACAATGTTATGATAATAATTATCACTGAATTCTTCACTTAAAAGAAGATTCAATGGTATCTTTTATGTTATATTTTACTAAAATTTTAAGTATGTATTATTTATTGTGTCTCTGAGACATGAAAGCAGCTGTAGAGAAGAGATAAAAGAATTGTTGCCCTGTGTTTCAATCAAACTTTATTTTAAAAGGGCCACAAGCCAGGTTTGGCCATGGGCCCTCTGAGTCCTGTCTTACAGACTCCCATCACCTGCTGTGGTCTTCATTCCAGAGTGCCCTAGCTAGGAGACAGGTGGTACTTGTCTGTAATCCTATTACTTGGGAGGCTGAGGCTGGGAATTTAGGAGCTCCAGGCCAGCTTGGGCTATGTGGTAAGTTCCAAGACAGCCCTGTCCACTTAAAGAGACCCTGTCTTAAAAACACAAGACAACAGAAATGAAACAAAACAACATTTAAAAACTCCAGAGTACCATAGTGGTGAGTTAATCCACATCTCACTTTCCCCTCATCTGGCTGTGCCACTCAACTTGCTTTCTCTGAAAACCTCATCTCCTGGAGCCTCATGCTCCAGGGTATCCCAGCATCTTCTCTTTCTCCTGCCTGTCAGTTATCTACAACTCTTAACATTTATCTTTTACATTCTAAGTAAGTGAATACTCTTTATAGCTAGACATGGAATCCCCCCCCCCCCCCGTAAAAAAGTAATTGGGTTGGTTTTATGTGTTGCTTGTTTTGTTTCTGAAACCAGGCGTTGTGTAGCTCAGGCTGGACCTCACTATGTAGCCTAGGTGACCATTACCTGCTGACTCTCCCGTGGGTCACTTAGCTGTGTTGAGATTACATGGTACACCACCAGGCCTCGAACATGCTCAGGAATGCATGCACTTCTGATTTCACAACAACTTTCATTAATTTATTCATTCATCCATTGAGCTCTTTAGAATGTCCATGGACACCAGGGTTAGTGCCAGATACTATAAATTGTACTTTTTAAAGGTTCTTTTGGGAGCCAGCCATAGGGGAATCCCAATGATCAATTCTGGTCAAAACAAGGGGTCCAGAATTAAGTCATCTTCATTGAGATTTTGAGGCCAGCCTGGCCTGTAAGACAGCCTATCTTTATAAAAGCAAAGCAAAGCAAAGCAAAACAAAAAGACACTCCAGGAGGAGGAGGGTTGGGGTGGACAGGTCTGGATGATAAAAATAAAAAAAAAAATTGTTTTTGTTTGTTTAACCACTTGACATTAAGTTCTGCTTAAAAAAAGAAAAGAAAAAAGATAATGACTAAACTGGGTTGCTATGTCCTAATCCCAGCTCTGCAGAAACTGAGGCAGAGTCTAATCCCTGCAGGTTTGAGGCCACTCTTAACTGCTTGAGTTCTAGGTCAGTCAAGGTTACAGAGTGAGACCTGTCTCAAAACAGAAAACTTTTCCCCCCTCATTTTGAGCTGCAAATCTGTGATGTTCATAAGTCTACATACTGATATTGGATGTTATTGCCATTTCCCTGTGTTTCCAAGAGATCTGAGTAAAGATGGCTCCTGGTCTCCTGCCTACAGAGGTGAGTTTGAGAGAAAGAGCCAAGCATGCTCCTCTTTACTCTTCCATGCAATGCGCCACACACACACACACACACACACACACACACACACACACACGGGGCAGGTGATCTTAGCAGTCTGCTTCTTAGGGGGAACTCAGAGGGTACCACTGCACCCACGTGCTCAGCGATGCCTGGCATTGGCGTGAAAGCCTAGCCTCATGGTGAAATATTAGTACAGCCCCTCGGTGGGCAGATGAGCCAAATCAGGCCGCAGAGCCCCCACCCTCCCACTCCCTTCCTCTCCTCTCTCTACCCCCTTGGGTACAGAAGAAGAATTATTGGCTGACGCTAGAGTTGTGGCTAAATGGTAGAATACTTGTTTAGCTTGTGCAAGACCCAGTCTCGGTGCCACAAAACTAACAAACAAAGGGCTTGTCAATTGACTCTCTTAAATTGGCAAATCCAGTATAGCGCGGAGTAGTAGGAAGCCTGGTATGGTACTTACTTGATGGCATAGTTGCAGACCAGGTACACAGCCTGCTGCCAGGTGCTGCCCCACACATTGATGCTGCTACAGGTGTGCAGAGCGCAGCCCAGCCGACTGGAGGAAGCCCACACCATCTGTGGAAGTACAGAGAGGTAGGCTGAGGCTTGGAGGAGCCCAACAGCCCTGAGCAGCATGGTTACTGGGCCCCATTCCAGTTGAGTACAATGTGAAGTCTTTGGGCCCAGGGGCTGGAGGATGGGAGGGCAGGCCATGTCCGCCTATCCTAAGGGGTTGGGGAATGGCTTGGGACATTCATTCTGTAATAGAAACGTTCTTAAAAATGACATTTTACTGAGACCATCAGTAAGGAGTGTGCTTCATATTGTTCTGTAGACCAGGGGGGCCTCGGCGTCTGGAGAGCTGGGATTAAAGGTGTTCTCCATCACCACCTGACTTGTGTTTGATATTGTTACATAATGAAATAGTAGCACAAAAGTATGATAAAAGAAGCAGGGTGTAGCTCCATAGTAGACCGTATGGCTAGTGGGCCTACGGCCCTGGGTGCAACACCCAGCATGCCAAAGAACATTACATATTTATCCGTATCATGTGTGATATGTTCTTTCTAAGATTTTCCTCTTGGTGACAACTTTGAAAGTCGTTGTGGTGTTGGAGGTTAAGCACAAACTTGAATCACACTTGGGTCAGCCTCTCAACAGCACCTGCTGTGAGATTTTGACCGGGTCTCTAATCCTCTCTGTACCTTTGCTTCATGAGGAAGATGGAGGTAATAATGTCCTATAATTTTGTTGGTTTTTGACTTTTGTTTTTTGTTTTTTTATAGAGCCTTACTATATATCCCTGGGTATATGTAGATATGTAGACCAGACTGACCTCCAACTCACAGAGATTTACCTGCCTCTGCCTCCCAAGTGCTGAGCCTAAAAGTGTGGGCCACCACATCTGGCTATTTTTATTTTACTTTTTAAGATAGTTGGAATGAGTTGGGGTGTAGCTCCGTGGTAGAATAAAACAGATAGTAGGAATTTTGGGAAACAGAAAATATCCAAAATAGTCAAAGCAAAACAATGGTAGAGTATGATGGCTGTGATCTCAGAAGGTGAGGCAGGAGGATTTTTCTGAGTTTCAGGCCATATAATTCATCTCAATTCATTATCTGCACAACTTTTGAGGAATGTTGTACACCTTCCAAAAAGGAAAGCCCACCCTGGGAATGGTGGGCATGCTTGTAGTCCCAGTACTCAGAAGGCTGAGAAAGGAGGATGGAGAGTGGGAGACCAGCCTGGGCTAGACAATGACCCCATCTACAAAAGGAGAGACAAAAAGAAGCCCACGGGGCTTGGCTGACAGAGGGTTACCTGGGTATAGTGGGAGCACACAGGACCGCTGCAGAGCCAGGGGCAGTGTGGGGCACAATCCTTTGGAGTTGGGAACGAGTAATAACGTTTTTCCTCAGACCAAGACTTCACGAGATCTACCACTGAACGGTACCTGGGGAGGCCAAGCACATGGAAGGCGGTGAAGGGAGAGCGGCAGAGTCACTGTCACCAACTTTTTGTGAGCCACTTCATTCTCCCTCACATTCCCCATCTGTAAAACGACAGAATGTAGACAGGTCATACTTCCCTCACAGGTTACGGTCTGACGAGCAGTTGGGGTAAGCTACGGATCACATAGTCAGTGCTCAATAAAGCTGTGTGGAGAGTCGGGTTGTGGTGGCATTTCGGGCACAGTTTGCATTTTTAGGGAAAGAGAGATGTGCTGGGCCATCGGGCCACCCCAGGTAGTTCTCAGCAGACTGAAGAACCTGGTGGGGTCTGAGGACTTTCTCCATCAGATACATCTGCCAGTGTCCACAGGCTGAGGACACCAGGCCACCTCCCAAGCAGCTCTCTCTGGGAAAGAGTCTGGCAGCGGTCTTGTACTGGAACTTGAGGCTGTGCTCAACTAAATCACGTGATGTGAAACTTCCCTCCAGTCCCCTCAAGTCTACAAATGTCTGATGTGCTTTTTGTTCTTGGAATTGCTCTGGGGTTTTTCTCGCATGACTTCTCTGGAGACTCGTGGCTTCCCTTCACCATCCCTCTCATGGAGGCTCCCTCTCTTGAGGCAGTGTCTGACGAGGTAGCTCTGGCTGGCCTTGAACTCACAGAGATCCACCTGCCTCCAGAGTGCTGGGATTAAAGGCGCTGCCACTCCAGCTGGCTCTCCCTATCTCTCCCTCTCTCTCTTAGTTTTAACTGAAAAGATGAAATGTTGGAGCTGGAGAGGTGGCTCAGAGGAGAAGAGTATAAGTACTTGCTGCTCTTCCAGGGGTTACAAGTTCAGGCCATCAGAACACAGGTGGTATACAGATATATACATAAATATAAAATTTTTTGGATTTTATTTTTATTTTAAATTATGTCCGTATGTGAACATGTATGTGTGTGTGTGTGTATGTGTGTGGTATGTGCATGTGTGCATGCATGCATATATATGTGTGTGTATGTGTGTATATGTGGTATGTGCGTGTGTGTGTGTGTGTGTATGTGTGTGTATGTTTGCATGCACATGAGTGCAGTGGCCAAGCATGTCATAAGAGAGTGTTGGATCTCTTTCATCTCGAGGCTTAAGGCCCTTTTTCTAAATAAGCTGAAATTTTTCTTTTTTAAATAATTTATGTACGTTTATTTTTTTTTTTTTATGTGTGTTGGTGCTTGAATCCTCTGGAACTGGGGTTCCAGACCATTGTGAGCTGCCATTCAGGTGCTAGGAATTGAACCTGGGTCCCCTGGCAGAACAGCCAGTACACTTAACCATTGAGCCATCTCCCCAGGCCCCTAGCTGCATTTTCCTCTAGGGAATTATCTGTCAGCTTTCCTTTCCCGACTGTCCATTGGCGTTGTGTCTTACTCTTCATTGTTATATCTAACTGCCAGGCATAAAGTCAGAAGAGCAGTAAGGGGGTGGCTTGGGAGTACTCACACTGGCAACACGCAACGGTGCCTCCGTTCTTCAACACCCTTCCCTGTGAGCTTCGGAAGCTTCCCTGTGAGCTTCATCAGGCAATGGAGAGTGAGGCAGGAAGAATTTCATGGTAGGAGAGAGGGTGTGTGAGCCTGGGGAAGGACCTGGTCTACAAGATCAGCTCTGCAGGGCTCAGAGAGACCATTCATAATTCCAAAGGCTTGGCACTGGCTCCAACCAGTTGGTGACATGCCAAGGTGCAGAGGGCACAATGGTCCCAGGAACTCAGTTGTTAGGACTTAACCTTGATCCCTGCTGAGCTCATGGCAAACTGGTAGAATGGGGATGGTCATGTTTTCCTAATGTCCTGAATTGGTTGAATAATGCTGTGACATATGACAATCTCTTAAATGTTTCTATGTGTGTCTGTGTGCACACGTGCATGCACACGTGTTCATGTGCCACATGTGTATTCATATGGAGGCCAGAAGTCAACCCCAGGTATCATTTCTTAGATGCTATCTACCTTGTTTTTTGAGACAGGGTTTCTCACTGGCCTAAAATTCAGAGATTAGGCTCATCTCATGCTGGTGATTCCCAGGGGCCCTCCTGCCTCCATTTCCCCAGTGCTGGGGTTATAGGGGTTATAGGCATGCTCCCTGGTGCTCATTTTTTTTTTAAATGTGGGCTCTAGGGATTGAACATAGGTCTTTGTGCTTGCCAGACAAATACTTTACCAATGTAGCATCTCCTCAGCCCTTATAACTGGCTAATGAAACCCACAAGTCCAGAGCTAGTTAATCTAGGTCAATAGGGACCCCAAGTTTTGGAATATAGGCAAAACATCCTCAGGTTGCACATATCAGAACTCAGGCACCCACATTCTGACTCAGAAGCTGGAATGGTGACAAAAGCCAGGCTGGCAATTCAGTGTCATTGTCATTCCTGGGCCCAGTGCACTCACCTCCTACCCTCTGTCCTATTTGCCACTCCCCACAGCTCTCATCGTCTTCCTATGTGGTGAGTCTTCAAACCCATCCCCGCTCTCTGCAGTAGCATGAACTCTAATTTGTCTAACCCATATTGCCTGCGTCTCCTAAACAGAATGAATTTCTGTATGTGCAGAGCTTATCTGCCTGGCTCGTCACGGTAACCACCGCTGCGCATACGCCTGGGCCAGAGTGAAGGGCTCGGTGTGTGTTTGTTGAATGACTGGATGAAGAAAGGGCAGAGATTCACTCACCGGCCAGAATGGATAGACAGGTTCTGGCCCACGTACTTCATCAGCTGTGAGGGTCCATGGGCCCAGATGCACTGGGTGGCCCAGGCTTCAGCAGACCTGGCCAGCTGTTCATCCCAAACCTGACGAAAGAAAGAGCATGAGCTTGCCCAGGGTAAATAACCACCATGACCATCGTGGGGTGCAGATATGCCCATTTACCTGACATCGTGCTTTCTCAGTCTGCTGAGGTCAACACACCCACATAGAGAGGAGAGAACAGAGGCGCAAAGGCTTTGACCCAAGGTCAAGCACGAGCACAGTGAGCCAGGGTCTATGTTCAGGTCTCTGGCTCTGCATCCTGTGTTCTTCCTCACTCGACCTCAAACTCAAAGCCCCCGGCTCTGTTGGGAATCCCAGGGCATTTGAAGTAGTTATGAGCAGTTCCTCCCTGTGACTGAGCCCAGAGTATGGAACAATCACCGGTTTTACGTTCACAGTGTTTTCATTTAAAAACTGAATTCAAGACCTCTTTAAAGGTATGAGAACAAACTGAGTAGGTGGTGGTGCATGCCTTTAGTTCCAGCACTCGGGAGGCTGAGTTCGAGGCCAGCCTGGTCTACAGAGCAAGTTCCAGGACAGACTCCAAAGCTACACAGAGAAACCCTGTCTCAAAAAACAAAAACAAAAGCAAACAAACAAACAGTGTGAAAACACACACAAAATTTAGGTTAAAAAAAAAAAAAAAACGATAAAAGCAGGACATGGAAGTGCACAACTTTAATCCTGGCATTCAGCCGGTTTGGTCTACATAGCAAATACCAGGCCAGCCAAGGCTACACAGCAGATAACTGTTAGGAAAAAAAGATACAAAAAAGGGCAAAGTGGAATATTTTACATCTCTCATCACTCCTAGATCGCCCTTTAAGCCACCCTGTACCCTTTTCCAGCCTCCAACCAGAAATACTCCCCAATTATGTGTATCAATTATGTAGACACATAAATGGCTATGTACACTCTGTTCTGTAGCCAATTCTTCATTTGACAAGACAGGTGACCTTAGTGATTATTCTACAACAGTGCCCATTAAACCCCTTCCTTATCCTTCTTCGTGGTTATATAAGTTTCCAGTGTAGAAATTCTTCACAGTATATAGCCGGGATGTGGGGTCAGCATTATCTCTTCCCAGGGGTGGAGAGATGACTCAGAAAGCAAGAGCACTTCCTGCTTACAAGGGGCCTGGGTTTGGTTCCCAGCACCCACTTGGCAGTGCACAGATGCCTATAATCCCAGTTCTAGAGAATCTGATACCCTCTTCTGTTTAAGAGAAACCTGAGCAACATGAGGCTGAAGCAGGATTGCAAGACAGAGACAGTTAAGGGGACATGGGAAGAGAGAAGAGCCCCTCACCCTGGAGCCTGGATAAAGCCAGCTGTGAGACTCCAACACAGCTAATAACATTTTCCACTGGACCCAGGTTCAGTTCCCAACAACCACACAACCACATGGAGGTTCAGAACCATCTGTAACTTCAGTTCCAGGGGATCCAATGCCCCCTTCTGGCCTCCCTGGGCACCAGGTGCACACATGGTACTCTGGCATACATGCAAGCCAAGCATTCCTACACATAAAAATAAATACATAAAATTGTAACAGACAAAACCCCCAAACGCAGTTTCCTTCCAACTCTGACTCCCTGGAATTCTTTGTGTTAGTATTTGTTCACTCAGCAAATATTGAATAATATTCCTTGGCACCAAGGACTCAGTCTAGCAAGGAAATGAGCTGTCAAGCAAGCATGACTCACAACAACCCCGGGGCATGTGGGAATGTGGGGAGTGACCCAGACCCTCTCTGGGTTCAATGAAGGTTGTTTAGACTCACCTTGTTCTGGGGACACAAAGCCACCAAGAGAACAAGAAATAGAGATGCTAAGAAGTCCTGCCTCCTGGTCCCCCCTCCCCCCTCTGCTTTCTGCACCTCCCCCAGCATTGTAGCTTCCTGTTTTTTTAGGGAAAGCAGAGCAAAGGGAAAAGGGAGAGAAGGAACCAAGTAAAAGCAGGGTGACCCTCCCCAGCATCCCTGGAGAGAGTACCGGGCTTGCTTCCTGTGTTCTAGGTCCTGTGCAGTAAGTAAACACCTGTTGGGGTTAGTGCCACCCATACCGCTGGTGCCCAATTAATGTGTCATTTGTTTGGAAACTAGAGCCTTCTGTGTGGCAGTTTCAGTGTTAATAAATGAGCAAATGAGTCAGCAAACAAATAAATGACAGCCCACCCCACCCCCCACCCAACCCCCAGCTGCTTGCCACCCAGCTCTTGTTCTGGCCCCTTCACCATTGCCTCCTGAGGTGTGATACTGTGCTCTGTATCTTGTCGGTGGCCTTCAAGTCCCCTTGTTCCCCCACCCTCCACACACACACACACACACACACACACACACACACACACACACACACACACACACACACACACACAAAAGTAGGCTCTTGAGGGAGTAAGCCTGGTCTTCCGTAGTACACAGAAAAGGCTTAGCGCTGCGTCTGGCTCCAAGCAGGAGACAGAGCAGAGAGCTCTGAGAGAAGCCACATTTCCACGTGTCAGACAGGAGGAGGTCTGCCAGCTATCTCTTCCTAAAGATGCCTCTGTGGGCTGGCAGCCTATCTCTGTGGGCTTTGGGGACAATGGTCCCGGGGAGGAGCTGTGATAGGAGGGTGTTTCGTCCTGGCTTCTGGGACACTGAGCTGAGAGACACTAGCACTGACTCTGAAGAAGACCTGCACTGAGATTCAACTCCTGGCATTCCTCAGCCCAAGATACCCTGGTGCCTGCCTGTCCTCCACTGGGGCTGGGGATGAATGGTCTGGGTGTGTCAGGGAAGCTCACAGACAACAGCCTGGAAAGCTTGGTCTCCCACCCCCTACAGGTCCCCAGTACTGAGGCAAAATTCTTGGTCAGCTGGCTGGCTGCATAGATTGCTGGTGAAAACTCCCGATTTTTTAGCAGCAGGCAGAGCAGGCTTGTAATCTGGGCTAGGGGGCCTCAGGCGAAACTGTCCTCTAATTCTTAATTCCTTCACTTGGAAAACAGATAAAATATTGTCTTGAAGGAAGAGGGCCGTGTGAAGGCCCTGTCAGGATGCAATGGTGTTCTATAGATAGAATTCTTCTCTCCCCACACCACCCACCCCCATTCACTGAGGATATATGCCATGACCTTACTTTCTGCATCCGTAAAATGAATTACTCATTTTTACCGTTTGCTTGGGCTAGGTGCGCAGATGGTTCAGCTCTTCAAAGCCAGCCAAACCACTCGAAGCCACAGCGAGCAATTTGGTGTTGGTTGGAAGATGCACCAGGAAGGCTTGGGACTCACCATATACTCCATGTTGGCAGCAGGTGGGTGTACGCTGGCCCGGATGTGGTTGTGATAATCCAGCAAGGCACTCATGTCCCGGGCAGAGATATGGCGTTTCCGGCGGTACCGGGGCACCCCCAAGCCAGACAGGGGCCACACAGCTATGTTCTTGGGTCGGCCCAGGACCAGTGTGGTGTTGGGCATCCTAAAGGCCCCCACTGTGTGGCCTGTCCAGAAGAGAAGGCCTGCCAGGCCCACGATGCTGGCCAGAAGAGGCATAGCTGTCCCAGATCCTGTACCTGTCTGGTGCAGAGTAGAGCTGCTGCCTAGAAGAGGTGGGTGTGAGAATACCAAACCCTGAGAGCTCTCCTCCGGCGCTGCCAATCCAGAGAATATTCCCTGGGAACTTGGCAGAGATTCTCTGACCCAGCTCTGGTCCAGATGCTCAATACTTCCTCCTTCCTCCCCAATGGACTCAGTTGGTTAGGTGATGGGAAGAAATGCCCAGACAGTGGCTAATCCAGACTGGGCTCTGGAGTGGGAAGGTGCTACCACTTCAAAGCCAGGGCTCTGTCACATTTGCCCAGGAGACAGACGGCCACCTCCTCTGGCCAAACACCATCTTTACCAATCCCCAATGTTGGACTCAGCTGATGCCCACAGAAGCAGAACAGGTCCCCTTTTCAGTGCAGCAGCCTCAGGATGGAGGGGGGAGGGGGACATGGGAAGGACAGACGGCAGAGGATGGCAGGGGCAGAAGGGACATTGGTGGTCAGAGAAAAAGACGAGACCAGAGAAAGGAGACCGAGAAAGGAAATGGGGGGAGGCTAGAATGATGGAATGAAAGAAAGAATGAGGGAGCAATAGAGGCAAAGGAAAATAGAATAGGAAAGAAAAGAGAAGACAAGAGAGGGCAGGAAGGGAGAGGAGAAGGGAGGCCAGGAGAGGGCAGTGGAGACCAGGCATCAAGTCACTGGGGGCACGTACCCAGAGCAGGTAGCCCCAGGAGGCGGCAGGGGGTGGCTGAGAAGGCAGGGACCTCTGCAGAAATCCTGGAAGTGCAGCGATTTTAACAGTCCCCAGGGAACGGGGAGCGATAATGGCATCTGACATCCCAGCCAGCAGCCCCCTCCTTGCCTAGCCAGCACATCAGATAGCGAGGCCCCGCCTGCCTCCTCTGCGGGCTTTTTCTCTCCAGTCCTCCCCTCCTGGTCCCTTTGCCATCTGGAGTGCTCAGGGGCTGTGGCTAAGTTGCCAGCTGAGTGGAGGTATAGCAAGGAGTAGGGGTCCTGGGAGGACACGTCCCTGCACCAGGGAGACCCCAGACCCAGTGGAGGCCTCTACCTGCCAGACCCCTGTAGAATAAGGCAGCAGGAGAGAGTTCTCCCTCAGAAGCCTTCCAGCCTCAGAGTGGGCAGATATGATGGTGATCCAGGTATGAGCATCTATTGTGCGCCACACCCTAGGATGAGCACTTTATACACACAAGCACAGCCAACCTTCAGAGGCAGGAGCTGAGGCCCCTCCCTGTCCCACACTGTAGAGGAAGGCTCTGGGCCCTACAGAGGCGAAGGAAGAAAGCCACAGTCAACACAGCCTGGGTTCAAATCCAAGTCTGCTTGCTCTCCGGGGCCCTGGTAGTAAGAGCAACTAATGTTCTGCTCTGTAGCCAAACAAAATACATATGCATGGGGTGAACCCTGGAGAAGGCTTGTGCCGCTCAGACAGCGTGGTGCATGTGTTCAGCAAGGGGCTTCAAGCCCTTTATTCCAGCCACTGCGAAGCCTCTGTGAGCAATTGATTGGCGAACTGCTTTATCCTTACAGGTACACCCGCCTCATCTCCTGTGAGAGCAAATGAGTCAATGTTTGTGAAATTACAACAGCAGCTGCCACATGGCATGTTTTCTGCAGGTGTGTGCATTTATGTTCATGCACACCCATGTGCTCTTATTTGACTGTTTACACTTGGGTGTTATGTGTGTGCCAGTCCAGTTTACATGCACATAGGCATGCGGGCTTCTGTGTTATATCGTGTACATCCAGGTGCATTCATGAGCACACATGTGTCTATATAGACATGCACGGGTGTGATTAGATTCCAACTGATCTCTGAGTTGCTGGAACTGTGGGTTTGGTATTCATTTTTCTCCTCTTTGGTTGCTTGTGCTCTGCACAAATAACAAACATTCTTTTAATACTAGGAGAGTCACACTTACAGGAAATACGTAAAAGAAACAAGGATGAAAACCCCCAGGCTGGGACTGGAGAGTTGGCTCAGTGATTAAGAGCACTTGTTATTGCAAAGGACTTAGGTTTGATTCCCAGCACCCACATGGAGGCTTGCCACATCCTAAGGTGCCAGGCATCCATGTGGTGCAGAGACATAAATGCAGGTAAAACATACATACACATAAAAGAATAAAAATAAATCTAAAAAAAAAATAAGGTTTTTGTTTTTTTAAAGAAAACCCCAGGCTGAAGCAAGTCTGGAAGTGGCAAGGCTTAGTCCATGCTCAGCTAGAGGTCCAGAGCTGAAGATGGGCTGGGCCACTCAAGCCAGGCCTTCCTGCAGGCACTTGAAACCCTAGATCCAGGCTGCCACCCAGACTGCTCCTCCACAGCCCAGACAACACGGCCGCCAAAGCACACTCCTGCTGCAGCAATGTTCCTGGCCACAGCATCCCTAGTGTGGCCAAATGACCACTGGAAACTAAAGGAGGCTGTGGGAGGCTGAGGTCCTTGACCTCAGCAGGGCCTTCCCACCATAGGGTAAGAAAAACAGGCACAAACAGCACTAGCTCTTGGGGACTGAGGACTGTCCAGTCCAAACTCCTCTGGCTGCCTGACCTGAACCCCTCCCATGTGACGTGCCCAAGCCTTACTTCAGAGCTGAGCAGCAACTGTCCCAGTTCACGGGGGCATGTTTGAGGCAGACAGAGATGCATCTATTGTACAGATGGAAATGCTCTCTGCTCCCCTGTGGCCCTGGCAGCCCCTTTCCATGAGGCAGGGTTTTCAGCAGATAAAATAGCCAGGGTGAGACAGGTAACAATTAAGGGTAGCCCATATTAGGAGCTCTTGGCTAATGTCTCTCAATGGCTTCTACTCCTGCTGGGTTCAGCTACTGCCTGCTTCTTGCCGTCTCACAAAGGCAAAGAAGGGACGTTTCTCCCAGAGAGTGGTATTGAGGCTGTATAGACTGGTGGGTCACAGGCCAGGCTGAAGCCAGACAGTCTGGGTTGCTGGGCCAGCCCCAAGGATCATTGGCTAAGTGGCCACCAGCAAGCTACTCAATCATTATGCACCTTGGTTTCTTCATCTGTAAAGTGGAACCACAGGGCTGGAGAGAGGGCTCATGGTTAAGGGTGTGCTCTGCTCTTTCAGAGGACCTGAGTTTGGTTCTCAGCACGTATGTTGAGCAGCTCGAAACTCTGCTGGCCTCTGCAGGCGCACACACACACACACACACACACACACACACACACACACACACACAGAGAGAGAGAGAGAGAGAGAGAGAGAGCGAGAGAGAGCGCAATGTGGCACATGCCTTTAATTCCAACAGCCAGGAATGAGAAGAAGGCTGTGAATTTGAGAGCCTGTGAATTTCAGGCCAGCTAGGACTACATAGTGACATACTGTCGAAAACAAAACTCTCATTTATCACAGCACACCTGTGATGGTCAGAGGACAATCTGTAGCAGTCAGCTCTCTCTCTCTTTCTACCATGTAGGTTGCAGAGATCAAACTCAAGTTGTCAGACTTGGCCACAAGTACCTTTACCCACTGAGCCATCTTGCTGGCCCCTGTTCGGGTCCCTAAAGACACTCAACAAAATGGTTGTCATAGCACAAACTGCCCATTCCTGTGACAACAGCTAATAATACCGTCAGGCAACATTTGTGGAGCACACGGACGATGACAGGTTCTAAGCGCTTCATACATGCGTCTCCTTAAGCTCCATCCCACCTTCATGATGTCAGAACCCGTTCTCCGGTGGACACTGCGGAAGTGGAGAGAGGCTAAGCAGTTTGCCCAAGTTCCCACAGTCAGTCCCAGGGGAAACAGGATTCTAGTGCCCACTCCTGCGCACAAAGTCATAGCTGAACCAAGATCGTGGACCAGGAGACTGCTGCTGGACTGAGGAGACGGGGAAGCGGGCAGGCCCTTAGAGAGCATTTGAACCACTTGTCAGTTGAGAGAAGTTCAGAGGTTAAGCAGCTTGTCCAAGGACAATACCCAGCAGCTGGCAGGCTCGGGACTGTAGCCCAGATCTGTCACTCCAAATCCAAGCCGTAGGAGAGCAGCCAGTAGGAACAGAAAACTCTATGATTTATTTTGGTTTTTTGAGACAGATTGTCCTGGAACTAGCTCTGTAGACGGGCTGGCCTTGAACTCACAGAGATCTGCCTGCCTCTGCCTCCAGAGTGCTGGGATTAAAGGTGTGCGCCACCAACGCCTGGCTTCTTGTTTTGATTTTAATTTGTTTTGAAGCAGGGTTTTGCTACCTAGCTCAGACTGGCCTTGAAGTTGTAGCGATCCTCCTGTTTCATCCCCCCGTAGTTTTCTTTTCTTTCTTTCTTTTTTTTTTTTTCAATTTTTTTGTCTTTTTTATTATCATTTTTTATTTTCACAAACTTAAAAATGTTTATGTGTATGAGTAGTTTGCCTGCATGTATGCAAGTATACCATGTGTGTGCCTGGTGCCTTCAGAGGTCAAAGAAGGGAGCAGGATCACTGGGAACTAGGGTTCAGATGGTTGTGAGTCTCCATGTGGGAGCTGGGTCTTTCTGTTTTCTTTTCTAAATTTATTTAACTTTATTTCATGTGTATTGGTGCGAAGGTGTCAGACCCCTGAAACTGGAGTTACAGACAGTTGTTAGCTGTCATGTGGGTGCTGGGAATTGAACCCAGGGCATCTGAAAGAACAGCCAGTGCTCTTGACCACTGAGCCATCTCCCCAGCCCCTGGATCTTTTTTCCAGAACAGCAAATGCTCTTAACTGCTGGACCATCTCCCTAGCCCCATAGCTTTATTTTTTATTTATTTTTTGACAACTTCATCACATTACACATTCTGGTCATTTCACTCCCATTGCCCTCTCTCATCCCCACCCATGCCCACTGAACCCTTCTCTCAACAAGTTTCCCTCCTATTCTTGTGTAATTATTTCCTTACTTGCTTATTTATTTATTTTATGTGTATGGGTGATTTTGTCTTTGTGTATGTGTGTTCCATGTGGACCAGAAGGGGGTGTGGGAAATTGCCTGGGATTGG